CAAAAGAAAACCAAAAGAATGAGAGTCACCAATTAATTAATTAACAAGTATTGAAAAATTTATTAATTGGGTTGCTTGTTAATAAATTCGAATGAAATAATTGGATTAATTAATTAATAGATCAAATTTAATTGATTAGATTAATTAAATATTGGATCGGATTAAATTTAAGAGACATGACAAGTCCATTTGGACTTATATTAATAAGCTATTTGGGTTTCAAAAAATATATTAGAACACAATTCATTATCTTGTAGTACAAGAAAAAAGAGAAACTCGAGTTCTCTCATTCTTGTTCTCGTGTGAATTTTCATTGGAGATTGGACAATTGGATAGTTGTGAGTTGCAGATCGTGATTGTTCGTATTCCAAAATCAGCAAAAGAGTTTGCGGAACCTATAAAATGTATAATTCTTATTACAGTTTCTTTCTAAACACAATTTTTTTTAATGGAAATTATAATTATTTTATTTTTCTCTGTATATGATTAAGTAAATTCCCAATAGAATCATCACAAAACTTCATGGGTAAAAAAGGTTACCGTGTTTGGTGCAAAGGTAAAGTCAAAATTTGGTCTAATATTAAAAATAGAATTAATCCCTTTTGTACAGGAGTAATGCTATTCATCTTCACAGGAGTTACAAACAAAGTTTAGGTGCGTTAATGTGACATTAAATGATAGGTGAAATAAGTCATTTAATTTCACTTTTCATTTAATCTATCATTTAGAATCATATAAACTGTGTTTGTAACCCCACTGAGAATGAATAACATTACTCTGTGTACAGGAGTAGGGGTAAACCCATACACCCTCTCACATGAGTGGGTCCCGTGGGATCCACCTGAATAAAAAATTAAACACCCCCATATCTGTGGTGCCCGGGATCCACCTCGATAAAAAAGGAAAAAAAAATTACCCACCCCCTATACCCCTCAATGTGTGTGGTGAACCTCCACCCTAGCATGATTATTAAAAATATGATTTTCTACTACTTTTATATGTTCTTCAAAGTGAGTCGGACGCTAGACATTAATAGGGCTGCTAGGGTACTAAATATTATTTTATAGAATAAAAGTAAAAAATGAATAGAAATGAGAAACTTGTGATTTGTCGTCAAGTATTTTTCTTGTAAGATTTTGTTTCTAAAAAATATAAAAAATTTGTCCGGTGATGGCGTGCTACACGAATCCACACGACTAAAGGGACTTGCTACTCTGTCGGTGGCCGCCAGAGGGCCAGCTGGCCCATGTGATAGGTGGGGAAAGACTTCGTTGCCCATAGTGGAATTACCCAAATAAATAAAACTTTGACCAGGAAAACTTGTTCAAAACTGGCAAATGAAATTATTGGTTTAAATTATTATATTTTTATTTTCATTCCTCTTTTTTAATTTTGGAGTAAATGATAAAATTTCAACATTAAGATTTTCATTTTAGTCAACTGAGTAGTTGGATCATGTGGAAAAAGCAGTAATGTTGCAGGAATTTCAATAATTGTATAATTATCATTAATTTATCTTATTAAATTAAAAGATGTCCATGTTTGAGAATCTTTATTTTCAAACTCTTTTTTCTATATACATATTTTTAATCACACATTCACACAATAAATTATTGGAAAATACTGGATAAGTGGCTG